TGTCCCTTCACCATGATACCCTGTCTTCTCCCTTCCAATCCTCCAAAATGAGACAGTGACATTCTGATGCCCAAGTAGCCACCCTCTTGTGCCCATGAGACAGGCGTGGGCCAGCAGAGCCGCAGCTCACTGACCCATCCACCCACCCACCCTTCCATCCATCTTTCTCCAGCCCGCAATCCTTGAATGTTTCCCATGGTCCCTGGCACTGTGATACCCTCCTGGCCACTTCTGCCAGGCAAGCATTCCAGGGCTTGCCTGGGAAAGCATTCCTGTTGTTCCTTGTGCCTCTAGTTGCGAGACAGATTTGGATCTGCTCTGGCTGCTCCAGCACCACCTAACCTCCTGTTCTGCCCCCAGTCCCTGTTTCCCCTCCTCCTGTTCCTCTGCCCGAGGCTGCCGGCTTAGGCTTATTCCTTTAGGAGACAAACTCATTGTTGACTTTAACTCACTTCCATGTTTCCCAGGGAAGCACATTGGCAGGAGGCCCACTCCAGCTCCTTGAGGGAGACAGCCAGGCGGTGGCCAAGACTGGGCGCCAGGAGCCTTGGAACTGCCAAAATGCCTCCTATTTTATGGACAGACCTGGCTCAACCTGAAGACATTTCAAGAGTTCAATCAGCAGCCCATGTGAGGCCTCCGAAGGCAGCCCTTTTAAGAGACGAAATAGCCAGCGGAAGGTGCTGGCCTTCTTCAGGGACCAGGCTGATTCCCAGCAGATGGAAAAAGTGCATCCCAGTAATAGTAATCAATAGCCAAAGGCTGGAGCTGCTGGAGGCTCACCTGAAGAGCCCTGGGGGCTGAGCTCTGCCCTTTCCCCACATCAGACAGAGTCTGGTCAGGAATCCATCTCACCCACCTCCCTGCACCAAGCCCCAGGAGAACAAACAGGCGAGGGAGGAACCATTTTTCACATACTTTCTCTTTCAAAATGTAGTTCTGTTTCGCAACTTCCTACTTAAGATCTGGAAGGCTCTAGAGTACAACACAAGGCCACTCTCCAGCCATGGCAGGAGCCTCTCATCAGTGTGGGCACCAGCCCGCTAGGAGCGCCAAAGAAAGGCAGGGGCTCAGGTTTACTAGTTTTCCCAGCATCCCAGGCATGGCTAGCTCATCCAAGAGTCTATGTAATGCACGCCTCTAACTCAGTGCTGAAGTAGCCCCATCCAAGCCTCCAGCCAAGCCTTGTTTATTCTTCCCCCAGAGTTAGTGCTCTCCCTTGGGAACATGGGCAGGGACACCACACCAAAGCAGGTGCACCCAGCTCTGGTATGCTAGGTCTCAGCATCCCCTTAGGCATCTGTTCTTCAGATCGTCTTCACCCCTCTATAACTAGGCCTTTGTTCTTGCTCACTGAGCCCAAGAAGTGCTTAGGCCCTACCCTTTTCAGTGAATCTGGTTAGTCCCGTGCAAAGTGCAACCTGGTCTCCCTGCTTGTTTTTTCCCTTCCTAAGAGCCATTCACTAAGATGTTCACCTCAAAAGTTGTCAGGGCCAAAGCTAGAGGAGTGAGAAGCAAAGAACCATCACCTGGGGATACTGGTACGTCAGGGACTTGGAGTGGGGCCCAAGAAGCTGACCCTTCCCCTGAATCCCCTCACAATCATTCTAAACCAAACCAAACAAACCAGAGCGGGGGCGGGGGGGAATCTCCAGTTAAAAAACAAATCCAGAAAACAGAACCTCATCGCCTAAAATAGTGAAATGGAAAACAAAGCCATACTCTGGAGACTTGGTCTGAAACATACCAGAGCTGGAACTGGGTTGTGTGGCCAGAAATGTGTTAGTCTGGGCGAGTCTCTGACCCTGTAGAGGAAAAAGCTAACATTTTACAAACAACAATGTGGGCAAGTAAAGACCAAACATAATCACATGTTGGTGTCTAAACCTAGATGCAGTTACACAACACTACACCCTGACATAGATAGACTTCCTCTCTCCACCACTCATCCCCCCAAAGCACAAAGTTTGATTTGTGGCTTAACTCTGGCTGCTCCCTGCCCTTCTGGTCTCTGCGTCAGGTGGGATGCTTTGAGAGTGGTGAGCAGGTAAATGCCCCACATTATGAAGCCCACACTCCATCTCAAAAATTGACAAAGGGAGATGGTGTAGGTGTGGGGGCTCACCCACCAGATGCAAGGGGGGCCTGGGGGCACCTGGGAACCTCCAAGGCACCAGTAGCAGAATTTCTTCCGGCCAGATGGAATTTCCACATCTTCCCAGATGTGGAAGCTGAGGTGTGGAGTGTGCTTCAGTGGGCTCACATCCTCCTTCTCTGAGCTGCTGGGAGCCCCAGGAGCAGCTTCTTGGGGTTCAAGCAGGTGAAACAGAGAAGAGGAGCAGCTCAGAGCATCACCAAAGGGCTCGGGAGGCCAGGAGGCTCCAGCTCATTCCTGGATGCTGCTGAGACCTCTGTCTGGACACTTGTTTGGAAGTTGTTTAAGAAGCAAGCTTTTGGCAGGGCTTCTCATTGTTGACTAAATAGAAGAGTCTAGGGGGTCTTCTTACAAGGCAGATTCAAATTCTTTCTCTGTGTGGGGCCAGCGAGCCTGCACTTTTAGCAAGCTCCCAGGTGAGGCCAAGGTTGTTGGTCTGTGGCCACAGTTGAATTCGCCTAAGGATCTGGGAGACTGGAACAATCAGAACCAGAAACAGTCTAGACATAGACGGAGGAGTGGTACTAGAAGAGAGGGAAAGACAAAAACAATGATAAAAGAACTTCGAGTCTGTCATGGGAACAGAGAGGGGTCGTGTGACAAAGAGTGGGACCAAGACAAAGACAGAAACAGAAGCAGAGGGAGGCAAAGAAAGGGGGTAAAAAACAGCACAGGAGGAGTGACTGGCAAAGATAGAGGCTAAGTCAGGGAGAAGGGGAAAGGTAAGAGAAGGTCTCCCAGACTCCAAATTCAAACCAGCAGCAAAGGGGATCACAGGTGTGGATAAACCGACACCTGCAGGGGAGCAGGTGCACAGACGTAAGAGAGCCCCACCTGCCAGCCTTCTCAGACCTGCGTCACTCTTTCCTTGTCCCTCTAGAGTTATCTACCTCTCCCGAACTGAGTCCACTTGTCTCCTTTATATTTCTCTGTCTTCACAGCACTCTTCCCAAAAGCTTTTAGACATTCTCAAGTCTTTCCTACCTACAAAACAAAACAAAACACATGGCACCTGCCTGGCAAGCACAAGGTCCTGAGTTCAATTCCCAGTACAAGGAAACAAAACAAAACCCCCAAAAGCAACTCACCTAACCCCTGTCTCTCTCTAGTCTCTGTGGAGTTTCTCTTCCCTTTTCTTAGACAAAGTCTGGTCCTTTTTTATCTCCCCCACTATCTTGCAGGTACCATTTGACACTCCCTTGTCTCCAGGTTTCCTTCTGCCTGTCCCTGCTCTGACTTCTTTACCAGAAGATCTTCTGGGATTTGGTTCTCCTATCTGGAGGGCCACAGAGTCGGGTCCTCGCTTCATCCAGAGCTCTCTTGACAGTGATACTCTTCCAAACCCACGGCACCAGGGATCTTCTCCCCACCAGTGTGTACTCCGGCCTGAATCCCCAGTGCCCTCTAGACCTCTGTTTAGGACTAGGTGGTGTCTGCTCATCATCTTTACCTGGAAGTCTCAGAGGTACTGCAAACTCAACATGATCAAAGCCAAACTTATCTTCTTCCTTCTCCCAAACTGGTCTTCCTCATGGGCTTCCCTTTTCTGCATCCATCATCTGTCTAGATGTTTAAGACAGAAACAAGGGTTTGGCCTTTGATTACTATCTCTCCCTTCCTTCCTTCTCTCATCCATAGCCAGCTCATCACCAAATTTTCAGCCTTATTCTCCAAGTAACTTTGGGTCCACTTAGCTCCATCTTCATGACACCTGGTCTAAACCTTCAATGCCTTTCACTACCTGGATACCAGCATTAGCCTCCTTATCAGCTTCTTTTCAATTTGCCTTCAATGCTGTATACAACCTGATCTTTTTTTTTTTTTTTTTTTTTTTTTCTTCTGGGGATTGAACTCAGGACCTTGAGCTTGCTGGGCAAGCACTTATTCTACTGAGCTATCTCTCCAGCCCCTCAATATGATCTTGCAAAGGACAACCCTAGTCATGTTGGCCCGTTGCTTACAACCCTTCAGCAGCCTTCATGGCTCTGAGAATAAAAGCTCAGCTGCAGAGGGCCTTCCGAGCATCAGCTCATTTCACCTGCACTCCAGTAGGTCCCGCTGTATTGCCCTTCTTTCATTCCCTTACCACAAAGGCCCTTTCTGCAGCAGGACACTTCTTGCATGTCCCTGTGCACTTGCCTAAGCTTGCCTAAGCAGGTGCTTCAGCCCGCTGAGCTATCTTGCTGGCCCCAAGAACTGAATTTTTAATGCTACTTTAAATTTAAAATTTAACCCCGGTTCCGCAAAAAATAAATAAATAAATAAAAATAAAATTTAAAAATATTCAGTTCAGTTTTTGGAAAAATTAAATATTCTTAAAATAACTTGGATATGAAAATTTCTATTTTATCCTTACGTTTTATGAAGTCTACATATAGGTCAAGAATTTCTAGTGAAAATTTAACATTCAAATGAAGTTATGCTATAAATGTAAAAGTACAAGGGAAATGTTAAGCCTTAGTTTAAGCTTGGCATGGTAGTACACCCATATATTCTCAGGACTTGAGAGACTGAGGCAGTAAGATCGCAAGTTCAAGGCTAGCATGAGTTATATACTGAGTTTGAGGCTAGCTTCAATTATATACCAAGACTATCTCAAAAAAATAAATAAATAAATAAAACTTTGGTTTTTAAAAAATGTGAATGATCTCTCAAATTTTTTTATGTTGATTACATTTTAAAAAGATAATATTTTGCATATATTTGGGCAGGCAACAGATATCTGGTTAAATTATGGCTACCAGAAGATATTAAATTCCATATGTGGCATGCATATTTCTTCTGGGCGTACCAGTCTAGAATGCCATTGCTCCAGTCTCTGTTTTAAATATATTCAGCTTTCAGAGAATGGCTCAGCTCTCACCTCCTCCTGAGAAAACCTTGCTGAGATAAAGCTTTACTTCAGTACCTGATTGTATTCACATTCATAGAAATATGCATGCACCAGCGTTTGCTTGCCCTGACTCAGTCTGTCACATTCATGCACTTATTTGTATGATTACTGAGGCAGGCCTGTCTCTTCCACTGACCTGTGAGGCCTATGAGAACAAGCTGGGTCTCTCTGGAAACCAACCAACCCCCGACACATTGACTGATGCCAGTGGAAACTAGCACGCCACAGAAGGCATCCCACTGCCTTGCCCTTCTGCAGGGCCACCCATCCCTAGCCACCACTGGGAGCCCGAGCCTCCTCTTCCCTTCACAGACCCTCCCAGATGGAAAGCGTGCTTTCGAGCTGGCCCAGAGCCTTTCGCTTCCTGATCTCATGAGGACCCCTGTGAAAATGCATACCCTGTTTTATCCAGTCAGGGATGGGACCTTAGACTCTCATTTCTAACAAGTGCTTGGTGACAATATTGTGTCACTTCACAGAGCACATTCTGAGTAGTGAGAATGAAGAGGACCTGGGTACTGCTCTCAGAATTTTCCTGAAGTGTTCCTCCTACTCGGGATCCTTGTTGCAGAGGCTGTTCAGGGGCCTCTAGAAATCAGCCCTGCTCCCTACCCCCATCCTTGCACCCTGAAACAGAACATGGTACCTAGGGCTACTGTTCTTTCTTCTTTCTTTCTTTTTTTTTTTTAATTTGAAATAAACCTTTAAGCAGTTTTTTGAGTCAGGTCAGTCCTGATAATGTATCACGGATGCATAGGGATGCTCCCCAAGATAAAGTCACACAGCTGGCATGCTGAACAAGGCAGGATGAGTTCTTCTCCCTCAGAAGTCCTCAGGCTTTGGCTGGTCCATCACACCTGGCAGTGCAATCCCAACAGCTTCTCCAGGACGTCCCACCCTACCAAGCTGGTATTTGGATGCTAACAAATGGTCTGACACATGCACTGTGTGCATCATATTCCAATTGTGTACTGCAGGGCCACAGGATGGCCTCAGCTGTGTGTGTGTGTGTGTGTGTGTGTGTGTGCGCGCGCACATGGGTGTGTATGTCTGGTTGCACATGTAGACATGTCTGTGAGTGCATGGATGAATGGAGTGTGTGTGTACACACTGCCCCCGATGGTTCAGTTCTGGGAAGTGTTTCTCACACAAAGCCGCACAAAGCTCTTTGGCATGTGCCTGGAGGCTGGGCACTGTGCTTAGGTGGGCCCAGCAGATGTGAGTGGTCCCACTGTCCCCGGCTGTGGCTGCTGTGGCAGATGCTGCTGCCCCTTGCGTCTCCGAGAGCTCAGGCCATTCTCCTTCCTGCCCGGGTTCCTGTTGGGGTTCTCCCGCCGTCCCTGGCTGCCCTTCCTCCTCTTCTGCCCTACAACAACCCAGACAGTGGGAAGAATCAGCAAGAATGTACAGAGACGCTGGGCAGGACAAGGGAACAGAACAATAAGAAAGCTTGGCAGGGAGGAGGCCTGGAGGCTCTGGTTACCTCAAGGTCTCTTCTGATCAGCAGCTACTAAAGATGGGACAACATGGGTATTGAGCTTCTCTAGAGCCTTCTCCTTACCCCTCAGTGCACACCAAACACCCTCCCCTTCCTCGTGTCCTTCTCACACATTGGGTCCCCATGGGCCTAGAGCTCTTGGCAGGTGCTCAGTGTGCCTCAGAATTGGCAGGACCTCCTGCCTCTTGCCTGCAACCTCTGGGGCCAGACAAGGAGCAGCAGCAACTTCATTTCCACTGCAGGCCATATGGTCCAATTTGAATAACTGCCTGTTTTTAGGGCTTAACCCATCTGCCATCTGACCCTCAAGGGTCCTTCTAGCATGAATATCCACAGAAAATGGGGACACTGCAGGGATGGAGACCACAGAAGCTTCCAGCTCCTGCCACAGTTCTGTGACACTGCTGTCTGCCAGGACATGGCTTTGAGCTTGGATCGCACAAGGCCTTGATTTGAGGATTCTCCATCTGGCCTTGCTGTGAGAACCTGCCTGGTTCTAGAGGTGACTGGACCCCAGGGAGGCAGAGGCTGCAGCTCACCATCAGGACACGGCGTCCTCCGCACCGTGCACCTCCGGGTCTCCTTGGTGTCAGAGCAGATGGTGTGGTCCCCACCAGGTGCATAGAGCACTCTGCGTGTCCGTTCCTCAGAGCCCTTCCGGAAGCCACAGAGCTTCTTCTTTTTGGAGCAGGGCCCCCACGGTGACCACTCGCTCATTTCACATTGTGCTGGCATGAGGAGAGGGAACAGGAGAGAAGGAAGAGGAGGAAGGGCGCTCCTCCTCCCCCAAGCAGAACTCCTCAGGGGGCCTCAGGCCAGACATCTTTAGTCTGGAGGGTAGAAAGAGTCACATGGCAACCCCAGAAGATGAGGGAGGCAAGCTTTTTGGGTACATTGTCCCCGCCTCCCATCCTTCCTCTTAGCCTGGGGTCCCAGACTCTACCTGCAACCTCCACTGCAGCTTACCAGGACTGCTGCACTCCATGGTGCCATTGGTGGGGGTGGAGCCCTCAGGACAGGATGGGTAGCAGCGACCCTTGTGTAAATAGCGGCCCTCCTGACACTTGGTGCAGAAGTTGTGGCTGAAGCAGGCCTCGCAGTGCTCAATCTTGCATCCTGTGGACAGGACCAAATTGGAGGCCTCTGGCCCAGCCTGGTATGAACACTTTCCTCATGCCTAGTCCCAACATCCATCGAGCCATGCCCACCCACACAGAGGACAGGACTTTGACCTCCATCTTCAATCACAGCTGAGGTATCTTGGGAGGAGAAGGTAGAAGAGACAAAGGCAGCACAGGAGAGAGGAGGCTGAAGGGGCTGCCCCCAAGGGATGGCTGAGACTCTTGCCACCATTAGCCAACCTGAACCTGAGCCCAGAATCAAGCCTTGGAGCCCAGGGTGAGGCCTAAGAGAACTGGCTTCAGGAGAATTAGAGGAAAAGGCCCCTCTGGGCTTGGTGGGGTGGGAGAAGAGTGTTTCAGCATCTCATAGAATCTCATCTCATCCCCATCCCCAACTGGAGTGGAGGAAGAAAGGGGTATGACAACACCTACAGAGTGGCTGGGTGGACTCCCTTGCCCTTGTCACTGGGCATCCCCAGCATCCCAGCACTTGTTCTCCTCCTGCCAATGTAGAAGGAATCTGCTAGGAGGAGCAGGGGGCAATCCCAGGGCAAATTCCTCTTCTTGTGCAAGCCCAAGTTCCAGGACCCACCTTGGTTGGACTTGTGGGTCCCTCCCTGCTTACCTCCCGCCAGTTCCCTCCTCTGGGGGAGGGTGGGTTGTGTAGGGCTTGGCTGGGACCAGGCGGGTCTTTCACAATCTCTCCCTTCCTGGCTTGTGGGCAGGGCTGAATTCATCCAGTCTCTGACACCTGAAGCCCAGGCTGCCAGTTTCTCAGCAGTTGGCACAGCCAAGAACCCCCTTCCCCCAAAATCTTTTCTTTTCTTTTCTTTTCTTTTCTTTTTTTTTTCAGAACCAGGGATTGAACTCAGGCCCTTGCACTTGCCAGGGAAGCATTTATTCCACTGAGCCATCTCCCCAGCACCTCCTTGCAAAATCTTGAAGATCAAGAGGACAGCCTGGTCCTGCCTCCATTTGCAAGCTCCCTCCCTGCTCCTCTTTCCTCTGCACCTCCTAACCTCTGTGGCTATCTCAGCCTCAGCTCCTTCCTTCTATCCTTTCTTTCCTTCCCTGTGCTCTGACTCCTGGGTCTGGTTATTTGTAAAACAAGAACTCAAATAGTAACAGCAGGTCCACTGCACTGAATGCCAGATACCAAGAGCTTTGTAGGTGCATCTCACAACCCCAGAGGGCAAAAGCTGGTACTGTCATTTTAAAAACGTGGTGCAAAGAGGCTGAGATATGCTCAGGGTCATACAAGGAATATGCAGCAACACCAAGATCAGAACTCAATGGGGTTCAAGCTGGAGCCCAGCATGCCCCCCAAGTTATCAGCCATCAAGGCTCTGAAGGTTGTTGAGGGGCTCAACTGAAACGCAAGCTGGAAATATGTTCTAAACCACAAGGTCCTGGACAGATGGGAGAGGACACTGGCACTGCTCACTCGGGTGTGTTCACTGTGTGTCCCCCCCCCCCAGTATGGCACAGATGAGGTGGCGCGGTAGGTAGCTGGTGTGGTGAAGTGGAGCCAGGCAATGGGGGAGGGGAGTGAAGGAGCAGGCCGGCCAAACTTGGACTTGCTCACAGCCAGTTTGGAGCCAGCAGTGGTTTTCCAGCAGATGTGGGTTAGGATAGGCTGTGTTCTCAGGAGCACCTTTCTGGCTGTAGTGTGGAGGGCAGGTTGGAGGCAAGGCCATGCAGGCTGGAGGACAGTTGGGGACCAGGGGAGAGGTGTTGGTAAGACCATGGCATGAAGAGGGGAAGGAGATGGGTATTGATTGAGCAGGTGGGAGAGCAGCACATGTGAGAGGCAGGTCGTCAGGTCTACAGCTTGGTTGATGAGTTGGGACACTGAGCATGACCTGTGGGCACAGGAATGTGGGTAGGTGTTGAGGGTGGAGACGGGTCCTGTTCTAGACCCGGATTGGGAAGTGTGGGTGGGATATCTGGGGAGACGTCATGCTGGCAGTTCAGGACACAAGTCAAGAGCCTCATCCGCTCTCATTAGTGTCCCTCTCATTAGTCCCTCTCTCTGTGTCCCTTACAGGCCACCAACAGCTCAAAGCACCCTCTCCCAGGGTGCAGGCTCCAGTGCCCCTCTTGAGCATGCCCACACTCACTGATGCACTTGTTCATGTCGGGGTTTCGGGCATCAAAGTATCCAGGCGGGCAGGACGGCAAGCAGACGCCCACCTGGCGGATGTCGTTCCGCTCCAGCAGGATGAACAGCTTGGGTGAACACTTGAGGCAGCCGTTGACCTCGGAGCAGAGCTCGCAGCCCTTGGCACAGGCTTGGCTCCCCTCAGCACTGACTGCAAGGACAGAGCAAGTGTGAGAAGGCAGCCACAGAAGAGCCCTCTTCTTTCCAAGCTCCTGTGGGGACAGGGGTGGGGCAGATGGGAGTTTCGTTCTACCCAAGAATGTGCTTCTCAGAAAGCACCGGTCTGGTTGGCAGCTCACTGCAAGGCCCCCTTCTGCACATCGTAGCAGTCTTCTATCCCAGGGAACTAGGTAGATGTCTGGGGTGCAGACCTACCCATCCCACTGCCTTGCCAGGTCCTACACGGGCACCTTTTCTAGGTTAGATCCTCCATCCTCAACCTTCCTGGAACTTACTTAACTCTCCCCAGAGAGAGGAAAATTCAGCCTCTGGTATAGAATGGAGGTTTGTTTGTTTATTCATTTAGATGTCTGATAAAGTTGTTTTTTATTTGCATTCTGGTTGTGTTGTTTTGTTTTGTTTTGTTTTGTTTTGAGACAGAGTCTCACTAGCAGTCCAGCTTGGTCTTGAACTCACTATGTAGTCCAGGGTGACCTTGAACTCACACTGATCCTCCTGCCTCAGTCTCTTAAGTGCTGGGATTACAAGTATGCACCACTATGCCTGGCTAATGTCTGATAAAGTTTTAAGGAGTTTTAAACTTAAAACTTAAAAAAAGTTTTAAGTTTAAGATTAAACTGCCTGAGGAAAGAGTCACCTACCCAGACATAGGAAAATAACTAAAATAACCTATGTCTAGAATAGTGGTCTCAACCAGGGATGATTTGTTCCCCAGGGGACATTTGAAGGGCCAGGGAGAGAGCTCAGTGGAGTAAGTGCTTGCCTGGCAAGCACAAGATTCCGAGTTTGATCCCTGCTATCAAAACAATGAAAATAAAAAATAAATTCCAGGGGACATTTGACAATGTGTAAAGGCCTCGTTTTTGTACTGAAAACTGAACTCAGGGCTTTCACATTGAGCTATATTCCCAACTCTTTTAATATTTTTTAAATTTTGTGACAGGTTCTCACTAAGTGGCTAAATTGCCCAACCTGGGCTGGAGCTTGCCATCTTCTGCCTCAGTCTCCTAGAATTCTAGGATTATAGATGTGTGCACTTGGCACCTACAGACATTTTTTTCTTTGTGGGGGGTTGGTACCAGGGATCGAACTCAGGACTTTGAGCTTGCTAGGCAGGTGTTTATCCCACTGAGCTATCTCCCCAGCCCCCAGACATTTCTTTTTATCATCACTAGGAGGTGAACCACTCATGGATGCTAATGAACATTTTCTAATACACACAGCAGTCCCTACAACAAACAACCATGTGGTCCACAGTGTCAGTGGTTTTGCGGTTGACAAAGCCTAGCTTAGAACTATCCTCGGAGGCACTGAGCTCTCCCATCCCAGCACTGAATCTCGGAGCTCTGACCCTGCTCTGCCACTGCTCAGCCATGCACCGTGCACAGTGTGAGTGTTGGAGAGCGTGAGCCCAACAAGCTCAGCCGCTCCACAGAGGAACGGCCCTTGCAGTGAAAACAGGCAACAGGCAAACGAACGGTGACAGCCACCAAGCCAAGAAACAGTGGACTCCAAGGGAGAGATACAGGCACTGTGGAGGGAAGAAGAGGTACAAGTGCTGGACACAGCAGGACCACAAGGGTGAACAGAGCTACACACAGAGCTGCAGACACTCTGACACAGAGGGAAACATGAATGGGGGAATGGTGGAAAAGGAAGTGTCCTATTTTTATACCATGCTAAGGATGTGTACTTAAAATTTAATTTGCCAGGTAGCATTTCTCCAAGAGTGTTCCTTGGAAGAAGAATTCTCCCAACTGTTAATAGGAGGAGTTACTGGCCGAGCATGGTGGCACAGGACTGTAATCTCAGCGCTGGGGAGGCTGAGACAGGAAGATCACTATGAGTCCAAGCTGTGTAGCAAGACCCTGTACCAAACAAATAAATAAATGAAATATTTTTTAAAAAAATTTTATATAACAATAAATAGGAGAACGTGGGGAAAAAACCTAGTGTCTCAGGTAAGACCCAGAACCAGCGTGTCACACCAATCTAAACAGGCATCTTGGTGTGGGGCCTTTTGGAATCTTCGTTACACTTCTTGCGGTGTGACTAAGAGAAGAAAGAGTAAGCTGTGTTTTCCAAACATTTTGGCAATACTTGTTTTGCAGTTTAATTCTTGGAGTCTTTTTGGAACAACTTAGCCAACTGGGAGCCATGGGAAAATTAAGCAGGAGTAAGGTCGGTCCAATTGACACATTAGAAAGAACTTCCTGGCAGTCAGGGTGGGCACCAGTGACTGAAGGGTTATCTGGAAGGAAGATGACTAGGTCACCCAGGTGAGAGGGGTGGAGAGAGAGTAAACAGAATTCTGCTTAGTGGAGACAGAGAGAAAAAGACTGACTTGGAAGGTGTTCAGGGCCACCGTGATTCTTCACAGTAGCCCGTCCTGTGGAGTCCAAGGTGTTTTATTTTTGCTTTTCTTTTTTCCTCTCTTGTTTGGCTCAAGTTTGCTCTGTAGAGCCAGTTTCTCCTTCACCCCTCACTTTTCAAATAAACTTTGCCAGTATTTTATTCATTTATTATTTTGTCTTTTTAAGACAGGGTCTTGCTATGCTGTTCAGGCTGGCCTTGAGCTCCCTTTGTATCTCAGGCTGGTCTTGAACTTGCAATGATCCTCCTGCCTCAGGCTTCTGAGTGCTGGGACTTGTCACTATTTTAAAAAGTGTTCAGATGATACTTATGGCTAATGGGCAGAGAAGAACTGGGAGAAGTCTGGGGTGATTCCCAGATATTTGGCCTAGGGCATAAATGAACTGTGGGGCCAGACGCTAGAAAATGCCCACAGGAAGAGAATTCAACTGAGGAGGAAGATTGAGTCGTTAGGAGGACCCAGGCAAGGAGAAGCCAAGACACAAGCTGGAGACAGACAGTAGGGAAAATCAGAGTAAGAGGGCAGGAGATGGCTCAGGAGAGCGTGCCTGGTGCTCAGGCTGCGTACCCAGCCAGACCAGCAGCCAAAGTCCCAGTGTACAAGGCCAGGAAAAGCAGTGAACCATGTGCCCTCCTTTCCACCCTGGAAACAGGGAGCCAAGGCCTTGTCCTTGGCAGGGCGGCTGGCAGTCGAGAATGCTCCAGGGAAGGCTCCTGACTTCAGGCAGGAGAAGGGAAAAGGAGCACACAAACACAGCCGCGGTCATAACAACACAATAATAGTCATGGTGAGGGCCGGCCAGATAGCTCAGTGGACTAAAGCGCCTGCTTAGGCAGGCATAGCGACTGGGGTTCGATCCCTAGTGTGTCGTGCCGGCCCTGCCCCCGGGGCATGCTGAGAAGGCGATGAGACTGGGCATGGTGGTATATGCCTGTAATCCCAGCTCTTGGGAGGCTGTAAACAGGAGGATCACTACAAGTCCAATCTGTGTAGTGAGACCTTGTAGACCCTGGACTAAATACATAACTAATAATAGTAACAATAATAATAGTCCCAATAAGGGTGGCTTATTACTCAACACTGAACACAAATTCCATTCTCAGGGTTTGACAAGCATTAACTCATTTAATCCTTCCAATAGCCCACAAGCTAGGTACTACTGTTTTTAATAATCCTCATTTTTGCAGATGACTAAATAAAGAGGTTAAATTACTCAACCAAAAATAAATAAATAAAGTAAAAATAAATCACTCAACCAAGTTTTCTTAGCTACTGTGTTCCAGGCAGAGAGGAACACAGCACATAAACGGCAGGTTTAGGAAAATATAGCAGCTGGGGACATCGAAAGTAGGACTAGATTAGTTGTATCGAACATGAAATTTCTTTGTAGAATCAGATCTATTTGGTTAATACATTTAAAACTGAGTATCATTCTTGTTGTGTTAGCACACAAAGAAAAATATTCCAAATACTATATTGCAGTTATGAAGGAGTCTTTAGGATTATTTTTCCAGTCCGGGCCTTTTTTTCAGCTGTATTACAAATTAGTAAGTCTATCTGAAGGTGTGAAATTGTCTATTGCTATTTTTAACTTAATTCATTGTTAAAATGAACATTGCCTCTGGGTTTCTGCCTTAGTTTCTTCAGGAACTGAAGTGACCCATTGGTGGCTGGTGACCCAGGTGTCTCATTGGCTTGCAAACGGCCTCAGAATCCTATCACCCACCACCCACACAAACAGCAGTGCTCTGCTTGTACATTTTCCTTGAGCACAACCTGTGACATGGCAGGGAGAGTGTGACATGACACATTTAGGGACTAAAATTAGTTCAACACAGCAGTGTAGTTGACATTCAGACAAGAAGCTGGATGGAGAAGTAGGGGCCAGACCAGGAAGGATTTGGGGTCTGTAGAAAGTGTTCAGATATTATCTGAAAGACAACAAAGAGTCACTGGAGGGGCTCAGACAGGGGACGTGGCCAGGCCTTTCAGCAAGGTGATGCTGTAGAGTGGAGAATGGATGGCAGAAGCAGCAAAAGTAGAGGCAGGACGGTGCCTGGGTTGGAACTCCGGGGAACAAGAGCTTAGGCTGAGCCACGAGGAGGGAGGGGCATAGACATCCAGGCTGTGGAATCCATAGGCTGAGAGATGAGCAGATGCGGGGCGGGGGTGGGGCAGCAAGGAAAAGCACACATCTGGGTCCCTACGAGACGCTGGACCTGAGTCGCAGAATGGTTGTCAGCCTTCTGCTGAGAAGGGGACCCCAGGAGCAACAGCAGAGCCGGGGGCGTAGGGGTGGGGACATGAGAGCTTAGGCTTTAGACACAGTGGTGGTGTGGCCCCCGTGGGACTGGATGTCTACCAGGAGGAGGTCTAGTGGGCAGCTGACACAGGCCTGGAACTCAAGGGAAACATGGCTGGCGCTTGAGATGCAGAGTCCTTGATGTGAAAACAACCTTCAAGGGCATGTGGGTCCCTGAGATGGCAAGGAGGGTAGGGAAAGGGACTAGACCTTTCAGAGAACAGCAAAAGAGTAGGCAATGAAGAGGCTGAGAAGGGGCTGACATACCAGGGAGGCAACCTTAAAAAGCTAAGCT